CACATTTTAGCATATTGCAGTGTCGAGCTGTATGCAGTAGTATGCATTCTAAAAATATATGTTATTTTCTTAGTAAAAATAAAATAAAAAGGCTCAATTCGAAACTTACTCGTATGCTGAGATTTCCATATAACATAATACAGATATAATATTGAACTATTCCTAAACGAGAAGGTCAACAAAAGTCAACCATAATTTGGGTGTTTTGCTATTTAAAAACTGATCGAACAATATTTCTTTTTATTGACAACACACCACATCACAGTTTACAAACATAGAAAAGAGTAAATATAATGTAAAACAATAAAACAAACAAAACAAATCAACAAAATGTGCTATGGTATGCGATGTCAAGCTACTTTGAGTCAATAAACAGAGGAGCCTACTGCACTGGTATTCTGCAGAAGCCAAACAGAGCATTGGTATTCTGCAGAAACCAGAAGCGACATCATTTACTATTTTTAGCGTTTGATATGAATACGCATAATATATCGATATAAGTCGCAGTCACTTTACCAATATCAAATAAGTTTATAGTTGCAACATAAAAGTATTTTATTGATCCACTTCTTAGCGGTTAGGGATAAGTAGTGGTGCGCAACGGACGAGATACTGCATCATTATCAGTAATTTCTTAGGTTCGTATCCAAGGAGTAAAAATCGGTTTTAATTCGTCGCTCTTCTAAGGATGGGTTGATGTAAAAAAACCGGTCAAATGCGAGTCGGACTTGCACACGAAAGATTGCAAACGGCCAAAAACATTTTTGCTATGCCTTAAATATTGATTTTATTCTGTTTTTTAGTATTTGTTGCTGAAGCGAAAACAAATTCAACTCTCTAACATTTACGGTCTGTGGAATTCAACGTGGTGACAGACAGACAGCGAGTTTTAGTAATAGAGTACCCGAATTACCCTTTGGGTACAAAACCTTAAAAATAAATCTATCTACAGTATCTGGGGTCTGGATTTCTCGTTTCTTGTTTAATATTTACTTAACACATGCGCTTTAGTCTCTTAAATTGGGTTCTCAACAATGCATGTGATGATGATTATTTATAGGTATTGTTACGACTTAGGGTTCGACATAAAAAATACGCCAATTATAGTTCACAATCTGACTTTATCTATATTATAATAAAAACATAACTGAACGATGTCTGTACATTGAAGATATATGAAAAAAACTGTTATGAGGGACATTTATAAGCGTAATATAACACAAAACAATGATTTTTAATTTTTTGTCTGTTTGTCGGTTTGTCTGTGCGTTTGTGCACGATAATCTCAGAAAGGGCTGAACCGATTTAAATGCAGTTTTCACTATTATGTTGCGGTATTCTTCCGTTATCATTTAGTGTAAGATTGATTTCAATCGGTTCACAAATAAAAAAGTTATGTCAATTTGAAGTGACGTGTTCGCCAAAATTACTATGAAATATTAACTGTTTTATTAAATTTTTTGCCGTTGATATTTTGATGATCATCATTAACTCTTTCACAGCCAAACCACCCCCGCATTGCACGGTTTTGTCTGTCTGGTAGAGGCACTCGATTTACCCGAGCCTCTCCAATTTTCCATCTGCAAGGGGACCAATGGTCCAATACTTGAGTGTTCTGGTGACTCGGCCATAGCTTGCCGAGTTTCATCTCCCATGAGAGGGTGTAGCGTACGGGTTTTGGTGGGTAGGGCTCTGCGGATCCACTGGGCAGCTCACTATCGGGTACACGGAGGAGAATCCTACTCTACCCTGTGGCTTGCCAGGTAACACAGACAATGTCAGAAGCTTTTTCTGCGACGTTAAAAAGTGAGATTCACGTCAACTTAAGTTAGGAACGTTAAGACAACTCGAATTATATATTTTTTTTCTGTTATTACTATTTTTTATGTTAATACACTTTTTGTTTTTTTAACATACAAATTGCTGTAGATACGTACTTCAAAGTTGGTATTTTCAGTCTTCGCTGGAAACAATGGTTTAATTATTAGTCACAACACTCATATAATATTACTTGAGTCTGAAGGTCGGTTCAGAGTAGCTCGGTGGCATAGTAAATAAGCGCCATGGCCCGTGATTGTAGTTGTTAAGCATCTTTCGCAAAGGTCGGTCACAGGATGGGTGACGAAAAAAAAAATATCTCAAGCAACTCCAAGCTTCGGAAGATACGTAAACCAATTGGTCCCGGTTATATTTGCAGTCGTTAATATCCTCCAATCCGCATTGGGCCAGCATGGAGGGTCGTCGCCCATCCGCCTTAACCATCCATAAGGAAGGCCTGAGCTCCTGCAGTTGGTGACGTAAAAAGGCTGATGATGTTGATGATGATGATGATGAGGGTCGTTCAAATCTGACGAAAGCTCCGTTAAGCACCTCTCGGAAGTATGTGTTAGTAGACGATTTCTTTCGAGTGTGGAAAGTCGATTTTTTTTATCAATAAATAAAACTCCACGTGTCTTCCGTCAGACATGTACCGACCGACTTTTATTGACAAAGAAAGAGATCGGACAGAAAGCGCTCGGTCTCGGGAGACAGGTGAAAAACGCGAAGCGTATTTAACTGCCCATCGCGAGGCTTATGCACTATAAAGTTGAATCTGAAGCATTTACCGTCAGGGACAATCTCTTGAGCTCTCGGAGAACTCATACAACAATCGTTTGATCTGAGGAAACTTCTGAAGATCGTATAACGGTATGGTATGAGTATGAAACTTCGTTTGATGGAGAAATGCGCTTGGTCTCTGAAAGTGCTCGCAGTTTGCACAATAGAGACCGAGAAAGTAGTTTCGATGATCGCCAACCCGTGTTGCCTTCATACTCCACAGGCGTACCGCAAATAAGATTTCACAGGGTATATTGAACTAGCTGTTTTCCCGCGACTTTGCCGCAATGTTATAGCCTATAACATCTGCGTCTGATGTAGCTTCCCGTAGGTCGGAATCGTCTATCAGTCCAGTAGTTTTGGAGCAAATTCGATGCAAACAAACAAACAACGAAATCTTTCCTCTTTATAACATTAGTATAGCTTAAGTATAAGAGGTCCGATGGCGTAGTGGGTTAGTGCATTCGGTTTAAATTGCAGTTAAATAAGTTAGTAAACACTGCACAACAAGGACATACATGAATACTTATTTTACATAACTAAGTACAAACGGCAAACTCATCGCTAGCCAGCGATTTCTTCCAGGCAACCTAGCATTACGTGGAAAATGGAACAATAAGCCCGCATAGTGGGTTATGACCCATTGATCTTATTCGATTCGACTCCATTCATAGGAAAAAAGGAATTCTACCAAAATACTTCCCACGTAGACGAAGTCGCGGGCACAGCTAGTGCCTCAATAAAAGCATTAATCTGATATTAAAGGCCATACTGACTGTTACCATTATTATTAGTCCTTACTGCGGATAATATCTTTCCGAAATTTGTCACACACGTGTCTACAGCAATATAATCTTCCATCTGTGTTAATGTGTACTTTACTTTATTGCAATCGTATCTGTTACCATGCAAACAGTTTATGTAGGTACTAGAGAATTTATTTATTTTTATATACCTACGACAGTAGCGAGTAGCGATAATCTTAAAAGCTACAGGTTAAGAAAACATTTTGTCGACGTCGTTTATGCCAGTCTTAGGTAACTGTGACTAAGCTATCATGTCTAGGATAAATAAAAAGGATACATTTGACATTTAAAGTAAAATCGAAGACACATTTGCCCGAATAAAAAAACCATTTAACATTTTATTAAATAATATTAATTTACTACCTTTTGATATTATTAATTGCAATCTGAATAATATTAAAATTTTTATCCATCTAAAACATTGATTCTTTGATATCATATTAGTAACATATTATTTCTTACGATTTGTACTTCTTTTTTATTAATTTGTCCCTGTTCATCTCAGTTGGTTTGACGGCTGAAAATCAGTGCTTTATTCGCATATCGGTGTTTTCTATATATTGAGCCTAGACCCTTTCTGTTTGCTACACACAGGTACATCTCTCTTCCCAGGGCTCTGTTCCTAGTTATTTTCTCTATTATTTTTATATTTATTTTTATTCTCCGTATAATATAGTTGTGTGTTTCATTTTGAATAAATGAATTAACTTTCTATTTATTTATAATTAAGTTCGTTTATTAATATTACCTTTGGAAATTGTAACTGTCGTAGTAAACTTCCAATGATGGCCATTTTTAAATAAAAAATGGTCCATGTATAAAATCAAAGATGCCATATAACTTTCAAATCCTATAATACTACAATGATTAGTCGTAAAATACTGTAAAATGCACAGAAATATATTTCTCTCAAATAATAAAAAAAACTATAAAATTTTATAAATTTTGCATTCACGATGCTATATTGGAAAAGAATAAGTTCGAATCCCATATCAGAGTACCAGGGACAAAATGGATTTATTAAGATTTTTTTCTTTAAGAATATTTCAAAAATCGTGAAATTTCCGTACGAATTACACTTGCTTTAGAGTAACTTTCATAAGCATCGAAACAGGAGTTTCGTAATTTGATCAGCAGTCCAAAAAAAGAAAATCACGAACTTCCATACAAATCAACTCCTCACTGAGTGTCTGTAACATAAAATAACTTTTTACTTGAATAGTTTATGCTCGGCGATAATGCGTCAGTTAAAATAAGTTCTTATAAAAGTATAAATAAATACCTGAAGTCATCAAAGATCAGAAAACTTACTATTCTGTTATGAAATATAACCTACATTTCGCTTAAAGACGAGTACAGAAAAACAAGAACTGTACGAGTAGATTATGTTTTTTTGATAACTGTAGACAATCTTCATCAATTGAAATACCAAACATTAATTGAAATACCAAACATTAATTGAAATACCATTACTATGAGAAATTTGCTCATCTAATTCACACAAAGCATAATTTAACTATAAATTTCTTTGTTCCCAGATGGATTGGCACCAGGAACAAGTAGTTCACTTTGTGGTGATTACGATGTGAAGTCACTATGACGTCACCGCTCAACATCAGCCAACAAGACCTAGCCCTTATGGCCGGCAAATACGGAGATGCCGCCATGATCCTCAACGCCACTTACTTCGGGAAGGGGGTTGTAATTCTCACCAAAACCCTCACTGGCGAGAGTATGGATGTCATCGATGAACCAAAAACCAACAAAACAACAGACATTATCGATGTCAACGTAGTTCAGATCGCATTCTGCGTCCTCTACACAATGATCTTCGTTTTGGGAGTCTTCGGAAATGTTCTTGTCTGCTACGTCGTATTCAGAAATAAAGCAATGCAAACAGTCACGAATCTCTTCATAACTAATTTGGCTTTATCAGATATACTGTTATGTTTATTCGCAGTACCTCTAACGCCTATGTATACGTTTCTAGGACGATGGGTATTTGGAAGACTTCTATGCCATCTGATGCCATATGTTCAAGGGACTAGCGTTTACATATCCACATTAACCCTTACATCTATTGCTATAGACAGATTCTTCGTTATCATATATCCATTTCATCCACGTATGAAACTCAATACTTGTATATTTATAATTATTTTCATATGGCTATTCTCTCTCGTCGTTACATGTCCTTATGGACTCTTCATGGGCTTGTTGATCACAAAGAATAAAACTTATTGCGAAGAAAGTTGGCCTTCCGATAGATCGAGAAGAATATTTGGAGTGTTCACAACAGTACTTCAATTCTTAATACCGTTCCTAGTGATAGCCATATGTTATACTTGCGTTAGTATAAGATTAAACGACCGAGCGAGGTCTAAACCTGGTGCTAAAAATACTAGAAGAGAGGAAGCTGACAGAGATCGAAAGAGGCGGACAAACAGAATGCTTATATCAATGGTCGCCATATTTGGAATATCATGGCTTCCTTTAAATTTGATAAACATATTCAACGATTTTTATGCACAAATGACAGAGTGGAACTACTACTATGTGTCATTTTTTCTGGCACATTCTATGGCGATGGCGTCAACGTGCTACAATCCATTTCTTTATGCATGGTTAAATGAGAATTTTAGGAAAGAATTCAAGCAAGTACTACCATTTTTTGAGTCTACTGGTGGAGTACGTAATAGCTATCACTCAGGTCGTATGCCAACACATAAATCAGATAAAATATGTAACGGCAACGAAACCATACAAGAAACTTTATTAGCTTCTTCTATTAACCGAGGCCCATCCATAAAACAAAGAATTTTAGAGGGTAGCGGTAAGAGAGATGGTGTTGAAGTTGAAAATATTCTGTTGGAAGATAAGACGATCTCTGCCACTTTTAATACGAAAAGTGAAAATATTAATTTGCAGTTGATCGATGAAGAGTCACAGCTGAGCGAGTCTAAGGATACTAAAATTCCTCCTATTTAATTGTAAGTATAATCTTTGATAATTTATTTTCCATCCACTACTCGACTTATTGTATAAACTATCATTGGGAAACCCTATACGTTAGTCGTAGAAGAATAGAAATATATTTCAATTGAAGTTTCTAACTTTGGATAGCTCAGTGTCATAAAGTCAATAGCGTATTTCAATCTTTGACTAATGATTTCATTTCATATCTAAACCTACGAGGCACCAACTTTGATTGAATATAAATCAGTGTCAATTAAAAGCTTTTGTAACTTAAAATAATTAAAATGTTATTTCGAATACTAGAAGAATTCAAAATACAAAGAGCCTAATTTACAATAATGAGCTATTGAGTTTGGTTTTTTTTAGACTGATTAGAAAAACGAAAGCTTGTTTCGCCAATTAATTAGCTAAGTAAAATCTTAATTGTTGTTCATCTCTTAGTTATAATCCTAATATACCCGTAAGCGTCGTAAAATAAATATTTTTGCTCATATTCTATTGAAAATATAAAAAAACCTATTGAAAAATCAAAAGTTTTTGCTGTATATTTGACCAGTTTGTATTATTATAATTTAACAATTAACTCATTATTAAGTTCTGCCTTTTGTATTTTATATTATATTCATTAGATAATTATCTAGTTATTCAGTTACTCATCGCTACTTCAAACAATTTTAATATTTCAATCTTACCTCGATATTGTTTCTCCGCTACAAACTTCAACCAGAACCCCTTACAAAAACATTGGAGTAAAAGTTTTTACATTTATGTATTATATTCTACACAATCGGTTAACTTTAGGCTTTGAGTACAATAGATTGTTGGCAAGAGTCAATTACAGAACTAACGTTTTACTTGCGAAGTTTGCGAATAAAAATGTAGGAATACTATTCGTTCTGTGTGCTTTTAGAGCTTCTCTTTGCGCAAGTTTGTGTTAATATGCTGTTTGCAAAGAAGTTGTGAGCTCGTTCAAGTAAATACTTTGGAACAGAGTTGCGATTTTCTTTTGATGGCCTTTCGAAGAGTGCATAATGTCTTTTAAATTTAAAATGAGATGGAAAAGTAGCTATTGATTGCTAGTACGTAGTAAAATAGTACTGTTATAGCAGTGTAGATACTGCCCTATATATCGAATGGTTTAACGTTGCCATTCAGTTTCTAATATATATAATATGACATGTAAGTCATTACCTGCTCGCGTTTAATTTATGATATTGATATGAAAATATAACATTCGTGTTATATTATATTTTATTTAGAATCGATTCATGCAATATTTGGTTATAAATGAAAAGATACATTTTTTTTTAATTTTTTCAAATCATAATTTTATTATTATTCTGTTTTTTACACAGTGACTGACTTAACAAATTTGAGTATATGGAGTAGGGGAAAGGAGGGCAAGGTGGAAAGGCTAACTTTGTGTAATATTAAATAGAAATGTACTTGACTTAAATCTTTTATTTCATTTTTCTTGAAAGATTACTAAATAATGTAAACAAATTTCAATTTAACAATAACTATTTTCTAACAAAAAATGAGTTATGTATGACTCATAAAATCAAACCCTGAAAAATTCCACTTTGCCCTCAAGATGAGGGCAAGATTAAATGCAATTTAGAATATATAACACAAATTTAAGTTTTGCAATTAATACTTAAATACAACCATTTTCTAACTTACTTACAATATGACAGTTTTCAATAGATTTTTCGTATTATTTTTTTCGGGATACTGGGATATAATTATTTCTTTACCTTTCTTTATTGACCGTAAAATTATTTTCTGTTCTCCCCTTCCTTAATTATTATTATCACACTCAGCTATGTGTCTCTCTGTGGGTTGCAGCACCCACGAAAGATTCCATCCACTACTTCGCTTACTAAATATTTTTTGTCTATTGTAAGTTTCCATTTTGCCCACTCCTTCCATCTTGCCCTCTCTAAGTATCATTAAAAACAATATGTCATAATATCCATCAACTGAAACTAGAGGCTGAAGATATTATAAATTAATAATATATCGAATTTTGAATAGAAAGGCATTTGTTAGTAGTGAGGATGGTAATCTGTTCTTGCTCAAAGTACTGTATTTTAATATAATTTATTTCAGTCTTGAATACAATATCTCCAAATATAATTTGTCCAGTTCATAATAGTTTATCTTCAACGATAATGTGCCCATTCTAGCCTATTGTAGATTGTTTAAGTTTTTATATATTAATTTAAATGGTTGAGTCTAAGGCAACCTAAATGTTGTGCTCTGTGTAATCTAGCTTATTAAAATTTAATTTTGATAGGGCGCATGAAGGCTCCGAGCCTATGTCATCGTATATGAACTACACCTGAACTATAAACAATCACTTTGTACCATGACAAAACGCAACCAATCTTGTTTCTATTATAGTAAGTAATTACTTATTGGAACTAATTATTTCTGGTTAACTGACAATGTCGATATGACAGTTGATAGGCAGTGAGTAACTTGGCAGATTATTATAAATTCGCACAGACATTTAAGCTCTTGTCCCGTAATGGTTGAGCCAGAGATTTAAACGTAGAACATCAATCCAAGTGACAAGTGTTTCAATCAGCGGCAAGTCTATTTATACTTTTTGCGAAGGCTTTCAATGGCGTTTATGAGTTTAAAAAACTGAAATGAGGATAGTCGTTATTTTGCAGGCTTTGTATTGTATGCATATTTTTTTCTGCTATATTAGAGCATACCACAACTTTTTTTCATATTCAAAGAAAAATTTGCGGTATGCTCACTTTTTATAATCTTTTTATTTATCCATCCAATTTTTCTTTAGCGACATTTTTAAAAGCTTTCAAATTAACAAACAAAATTAAAATCTACTCAACTCATTTCTCCTTATTCGTAATATTAATATCATTTTAATTATTATTACCGCGGCCATTACGTTAATTTCTTGCAGATTTATTCTCAAATGAGAATAAATTTACGATGCTTCTCGCGCCATTAATAAAATCTAACTTTTGCTTTGTTTAAGAGTATCAAATATCGCGGATGAAGCTTTCTTAATTGACAGGTGAAAGCGAATATCGGGTGACATCCAGTGTTGCTAATTTTTTGCGGAAATTAATTACTAGAACTGTACTAAAAATATAAATCTGCACTACAATATTATTCTAATACAATATTTAAGTTAGAAATTATAAATATATAGTACATGATTCAAAAAGGTTACTGCATACCAGACGACACAAATTTCGCTTCGCTTCTATCAATCTAAGCAAATTGTTTCAAGTAATATTCACAAAGCCCATTATTTCAATTGAATAATATATTTGCTTACCACTGACTTTTGTTACCTAAACTTGAGTAATTAAATACCACTGGAGATTTTACCTTACCATAAGTTTTGGCAAGTTTAAAGCTTGTGTTTTGTTTCACTTTATGTTTAATTTTATTACTTAGATATATTTAGATGAAAGTTATAGCTGCAAAGCGAGCGTCTAACTCTTATAGCTATAAAAACATTGAATTGATTTTATCAATTAATATATCGTATTTATATTATTTTATAATGTATTAGTATTTATCAATTTTATCAATGGTTTTAGTTGTTGTAGTTTTCTGAATTGTAAAGAGTAATATTGTCTTACTTAAAATATGCTCAAAAAAAACGAATTAAGTCAAACAAAGCTATTTCTAAAAAAATATAAATAAACCAAAATATGCGAAAAGTATAAAAATCTAGATAGGCAAGCACTTGACCACAGATCACCTGATGGTAAGCAATGCAGTGGTCTAAGATGTAGCGTGCTGGCCTAGAAGGAACCGATTCACTCTTGACTTGAAGAGTCCCAGATTGTATTTGCCCGGAAACAGCGAGACCGGTAGCGAATTCCACAGCTTCGCAGTTCGCACGATGAATGTAGAGGCGAATCGTTTGGTGCGAGTTTGTGGAATCTCCACAGTAAAGCGGTGACGCTTCCCAGTACCCCTGGTTGTACGATAATAAAAAGGCGATGCTAAAGACTTAGTACTTTCTTTTTCCAAAGAGCGTCGCTTCCAATGAGCCTCTTGGCGCGCCTCTCGATGGTCTCCAACGCTTAAAGCTGGCATTTGGCAGAACCGTCCCAAAGGTGCGAGCAGTACTCCATGCAGGACCGCACTTGCGCTTGATATAGTATAAGCAGCTGTTCCGGCGTGAAGTACCTTCGCACCTTCGAGAGTATACCGAGCTTCTTCACTGCTAGCTGAGCTTTAGACTCAATGTATGAGCCAATATTTAGCGTTGAAGATAAAGTCACACCAAGAAGGTCAAGGTGGTCCGTGACCGGTACGGCCACATCCCGGAATGCGGGGGCCAGCTCAAACGGCGTATATTAACGTATTCATTGATAAAATCAATAATATTGGTTTAATAGATAAAACTAGAGTTATAGCGTGAGTGGCGGTTGCTCCCCAGATCTGACGATGAAACCGAAAGGTAGTCTTGGGATCTGTAATTAGACAAACAACCCTTTGAGTTTGGAGTTGTTTCATCTTGACAATTACTTTAGTGCAACATTAAAATAACTACTAAAAAATACTACATGCATTTATATTTGTATAAAACATTTTATAAAAATATTGTAATATAAACAAATTGCCAGCCAGATTGAAAACATTGGTGACAACAGCAAAAAAACTCTTTTAAAATGTCCTTTATTCTCTTAGATTGAAGAATATGTTTATTCTATACGTAATTAATTATTTATACGTTAATATAATTGTATTTTTCTTTTGTTACAGATGAGAGACTACAACGATTTAATTAATAACATACTTAAATAGAAGTGTTAGTATTTTTAATATTCAAATATGTACTGTACAGTTTAATGAAAATGAGATTATAATGCATAATTTGTTGTTACGCGAGATTTCTTCGAAAGTCTTCAAAATAATTTAAGTTAAATGTACAATAATAATGTCGTTCTAGTCTAAAATATTACAAAACTTGTAGTTTTCGAATAAATTAATGTATATTTGTTTTTCAAATT